GAATCCAACAAAAAATTGCTTGTTCTCTTTACGTATCATGTAACATAACCTTATGAAATTCTTCTCATGTAGCTTATTTCTTCCAAGAAAACTATTTTTCTCCCCACCTCTCACATGCAAATACACTATTTTTTCCTCATTACCATCATCATAAGCATGGATGAATGGATTTTCTGCTTGGGCTGGTAAATTTTCAAGACAATTTTGCAAATTTAGTGCAGATCCACACCCTTGAGTCAGTGCTTCCAGCATACTGCTTGTGAGAACTCCCACAACCAGGTCTCTGTGCATAATGCAATGATGCAGCCATGCAAACTGCTGTATAAATTTTCTTTAGGACAAAATGCAACATAAATATATAAATATGCAACACAAAAATGCAGCATAAATAAAGTGCAACACTCTGGAAATGGACCTGCAGGTCCTGGTTGATGGCAAGTTGAATATGAATCAGCAGTGTGCCCTGGCAGTCAGAAGGACTGTGTCCTGAGGTGCACTGGGCACAGCATCACCAGCTGTCAAGGGAGGTGATTGTCCCACTCTGCTCTGCGCTGGTCTGGCCTCACCTCAAGTACTGTGTGTAGTTTTGGGTGCCACAATATAAGAAGGATACAAAGCTGTTAGAGAGTGTCCAAAGGAGGGCTATGAAGATAATGAAGAATCTAGAGGGGGAAACCATACAAGGAGTGGCTGAGGTAACTTGGCTTGTTCAGCCTGGAGAAAAGGAGACTGAGGGGAGACCTCACAGTGGTCTACAACTTCCTCACAAGGAAAAGCAGAGGCGCAGGCACTGACACCTTCTCTTTAGCAATCGGTGATGGAGCCCAAGTGAATGACCTGAAGTTGTGTCAGGGGAGGTTTAGATTAGATATTACAGAGAGGTTCTTCACCCAGAGAGTGGTTGGGCACTGGAACAGGCTCACCAGGGAAGTGGTCACGGCACCAAGACTGCAAGAGTTCAAGAAACATTTTGACAAATTTTTAGGTACATGGTGTGATTTTTGGGGCTGTCCTGTGCAGAGTCAGGAGTTGGACTTTGGTGATCCTTGTGGGTCCTTTTCAATTCGTTTGTTCCATAAAAATAATCATAAAAAGACTGCAAATTTCTAATCTTTTACCTGTTATTTTACTGATGGAAGACTATGTGGCTAGCTATGCAGATGTGGAGGCTTAAAACATGCAGGCATTAGAAATGAAAGAAGCTGAATTGGGAGAAGTTAAGCATCATAAAGAGAACTTTAGACACATAGGAGTGGAGATTAATTTTGTGCAGTTTACAGCTGGGACTAGATCCCTTCTCTGAAGGCACACACAGCCAACACTCCCATCCCTCTGTGATTTAGAAATCCGGACCTACACTCAGCATCACAAAGAAGCCTCTTCCTGCTCTCTTTTAGTGTCTTCTGACACCCACACAGAGTAGGGGAATATTAATCTATGATGATTATCTTCACAATGTCTTTCAATTACTTGTCTTGCTATACTTAAAATTCACATGCCTCTACTACACTTCATGGTCTGTAAAAAGAGTATAAAATACAGCATTTTACATTAGAAAATTGCTAAACAGTTGGTTTTAAAAATATGAAGACATGTGGTCTGACCTCACAGCTGACCCTGCTTTGAGCATGGGATTGGACTAGATGATCTCCCGAAGTCCCTTCCAACCTGTATTAACCCATGATCCAAGCAGTTCTTAAGCTATAGCAGTTCTGCATTCTCAGCATATTATTTCAGATGCATAAGAACACAAATTACCATAAAAAGAAACAAGCCCTTTTGACAAAGGCAATAAACTACAAATGGAAAATTAGTTTTAACACAAACTTCAAAATATAATTAAAAAAATTAATGGGCTAGGCGTTATACAACAGAACATAAACCCAGCACATCAAATAACAGGAATTATATACTGCACATGAAGACCATCTAGCAGTGTCATTATGTCAGAGGTGGACTTGGATGCAACACTGAAGGTTCTGCACAACAAATATTATAAAACATATGCTTTGGGGATCTATGAATGAAAGTGTTAGCATCAGCATAATGTCTTGTCATACCTGCATTTTTACTGAATATGTAAGTGCAGCTAAGCTATCCACTAACAAGTGATTATTTGATGGAAACACAAGACATTAAGAACCACTTTGGATCAAGCCAAAGATCTATCTAGCCAAAACCAGCATACCAGTATTCATCTTCAACCAGAGCCATGTACACATAGGCAGGGGAAGAAAAGAAACAGCCTAAATATATATTGGTACTGTTTTGAAATAACTACCAGTATCTCATGATGTAAATCTCAAGCAACTCCTCAGCTAACAATTTTGTGTTAGTATTTAATAAAATTAATAGACAAAGGTGAGCAACATTTGTCATGAAGACCTAGAAGGTTCCAGACCTCATCACTTTTATGGAGACAATAATGATTGGTAGTAAGGCTTAGTAATGCTTTTGATACTGCCTCCCCTAACACTCTCACAGAGAGGCTGCTGCTGAGCATGGATGAGCAGTGAGGTGGATTGAAAACTGGCTGAACAGGAAAGCCCAGAGGGTGGGATCAATGGCACAAAGTCTCAAAGGTTAACACCCAGGACCCTATACTGCATCCAGTCCTGTTCAACAACTTCATTCATAATCTGGATGCCATCATCCAGAGTGTACCCTTGTTGCCATCCACACAGATCTTGACAAACTGGAGAAACAGGCATGCAGGAACTTCCAGCAAGGAGAAGCTCTAAGTCCTACACCTGGGGGACAAACAAACCTAAGGTCCAGTATATTCTGGGGACCAACTGACTCAAAAGCACCTTTACAGAGAAGGACTGGCGGTTCCCGATGGACACCAACTTTAACATGAGCCAGCAATGAGCCCTTGTGGCAAAGAGGGCTGATGGGATCTTGGGCTGCATTCAGAGAAGCACTGCCAGCAGGTCAAGAGAGGCAAACGTAAAAGAAAAGCAAATAAAATCCCAGCAATACAAATCAGTTGTCAGTTCAATCAAGTCACAAAGAACTGAGACTTGCAAACCATCTATTATCCTTCTGTAAGTCTATGGTGGGGGGGCATTTATAAAACTTATGGTATATATTAAGGCAAGAATTTCTGAACCTAGTGTTTTACAGTTGAGCAGCTGTGATGTGATTACTTCAAAAGGCAGCAAAAGTCTACTTTTGAGTTTGCGAGGCACAAACATTTGGAGAAATGCTTCATAAGTATGGCAACAATAATTCAGTGCATTACAGTGTATCATAAATATACTATAACAGTAGTCTAATCCTACCTTGCTGGTGGACACAAATCAAATTCTGTCACATAAACTGAGTTTATAACACTGAAATCTTTCATGCTCTTCATATATAGATGAACCAAAATAATATGCTTCAGTTTCAATCCCTCTGAAGTCATATTAGCTGCAGGATAAAAATAATATAGATATTAAAGACAGAATATTGTAAATGTGTATAGAGAGACAGCACAGGTATCCTCGTTTCATTCAGCAAAACCAACCAACCTAACTGTTGTCTAAACATGACTGAAGGCTTTACAATACAACTTTTCTCCACATAATACTTATTTTTTTCACTAAATTCTTTCTCATATTAGTTTTCCAAATATACAGAAAGAGAATACAAAATAGATTTTATTCACTCTGAGCAGTGGTGAATTCTTACTCCATGAAAACACATCATGCATTCATGCATGCAGCTATGTTACAGTCTGAATTACTTGTATCCCTAAGTTTTATTGTCTCAAAAGGGGGCAGGTGTGCGCATCAGTCTATGACAGCTAGTAATCTATAAAGGACTTTGAATCACAAAAGTACAGAACTGGAAGGGACAATAAGAGGTCCTTTAGTGCATCACCCTCTTCAAAGAAAAGATCAAATATTTATATGCTATTCCAGAGGGATGCTTGTCTAAGCTGTTTTTAAAAACTCTCACTGCAATAATAATCTCCACATAAACAGAGAGTTATAAATGGGAAGACAGACAGTAGGAAACAGAAGTGGCCACAGGAGAAATGAAGGAAAGATGAGAGCTGAGAAAAGCTTAAGCAGACAGCTAAAGAAAAGATACTAAGAAGTCAAGATCATCTGAATGTGTATGCATAGAAGATTCGAGTCATATCATTCATTCAAGGAGAATGTATTACTCTTATATAGTCAATCACATAACAAGATATGTGATTAGCTCTATGGTGTGGACCTTTTGTAACACATGAACAATAGAAACTAAATGAAAACAAAATCTTCTCTGAATACAGAACACATATAAAAAACAGAGTACTATGAGACCTAACAAATGAGCCACATAAAGCTCTTGGTGTAATTTTGGGGATCTTGGTCTTTAATGTTACAGTGTGTACATGTATATACTCATATATTTGTTTTCCAGAGGAGAAGCACAAGAGTATGAAGACAATCTCTTATGGTTGTTGCCTTAATGACAAACATAGGTTTTTGTTTTCTGTGCTTTTAAAGACAGTTCAGGAGTTGGCACAGTTTCATAAAGGTTAGTTTGGTCACACCAATACTAAATTTTGTTCTAAATGTCTCAGCTTTACTTAGCCATACTGCCATTAGTGTTGCAATCTGAAGAGGGGAATTCTGAGTAACAGAAAAGGAAGTGTGCACAAGTGACATAAGAGATTCTACAGCAAGGGAACTCCTATGAAATCAAGACACATCTCCAGAAATATCAGCTCATAAATTAGCACACAAAGGTAGGTCTGTCCAAAAATATAAACTTTTTTGAATGCTGCCTGATAGCAATCAGTAGGTCAATACCAGCTACCATGTCCTCAGTTAAGAAGGAAACAAGGGCAATTTTCAAATTTCCAGCATTTTAGTCAAATTTCCAGCATTTTAGTCAAGAAAAAAAGAGTCTTGGCGTGGATTTAAAAGTTTTGCAGCGTTCTATGAAATACTGGAGGAGGAAAAGAACTCCAACAAACTGACACATACCTCCACACATACAAACACCCTCAGTCTAAATTAAAAATGTATGAACCAGCAGATTAAGTTGTGGACACAGCAAGTTGAAGGCAACGATCTGGATAAATTTGTAATTTCCACCTTTATTTAAAAAAAATCTTTTAAGTAAAAGTACAATCTCCTTTTCCCCTGAATGCATTACAGGAATGATGGGAAATAACCCCTCCTTGGCTTGTAATAAGAATAAAACTGGCTCCCAAACTACTCTCTCCAGCAGAAAGGCATAAATGATGAACAGCTTACCACCTGACCACTTGGGTCCTTCACAACAAGATGTTTCCCAGGGAGTAGACTCTTACACGGCCTGTCTCCAGGATGTACAGGGAAACTATATAGCCTTTTTGTTGAATTTCAAGTCATTCATGATTTCTCATGGTTTATAAAACATGATCCAGTGAGACTCACACTTACTTAAGCAGAACTGCCTAAAAAGAACTGACCTAACAGGTAACACTGCCACAGTGTTTTGAGGTTTTTGGGATTTTTCTTTAAGGGGTTATCCAGCATCCTTAGGCTGAGAGCCACAAAAGAAAAAAAAAAAAAGCCCTGTCCCTTAGGCTGAGGGCCACAAAAGAGAAAAAAAAAAAAGCCCTGTCCACAGGAAGTACCATTTTAGACTAAATTTTAATGCAATAAAAATAATTTCTTTCAAGTCTAAGAAACTTTGCCATGGTACAACTTCATCAGAGCTGCTTTATGTTATATAAAGCACAGCAATGTTTGTCATCTTCCAGTCATATCTAAAAAATGGTTTAACAAAAGAGTTTACAAAAATAAATGTATAAACAGTAATATACTGCATTCCCTCCCATTCTTGGCTTCATAGGAAAGTTCCATCCACTTTACAGAACAACAGTGTTTCATAGCATTTAGTAATAAATTTCTATTTCCAAATCCTTTTGTCAGCACTCATCCACTTTAGAGGTGATTAAATCAGTTAGGATGGCAAAGAAGTTAAAAGGACTGTGCTTACTCCATTCTCACAGCACTGAAGACTGAGCTTCTGTGTGGACTGCAAGTATGAGTTCAGAAAAAGCCTTGTGCACGTTTGCAGATTAAGTCCTTGGAAACAAATTTTTTCTTTTGCCATGACAGAACCATAATTCAATTGGTCTTCCACACCACTTCCAAAATTTGAAAACTTAAAGTGAGAACTGACACTTTCTACAAAGGATCAGAAAATTACCATTTTTTTCTTACAGGTAATATGAGTAATCTGCTGAAAGCAATAGGCTACTGCATTAGTCAAAGACACAATCTTCTTTGGCAAGTGCAAAGGCAAAAATACATAATGAGAACAAATATAATGAGAACAAAATAAAACACTGCAAAATTCTTTTGTTTCAAGTTTATAGATTATGCTTGGATTTAAAGTAAAAACTATTGCATTTTAGTAAAAGTCTGATCATATTTACCTTGCTGATTCCAAGCAATCAAAAACTAGATTAATGACCTTCTACCAAGTATAACTTAGCTTCTGAAAAAAATCTAGGATTTTTTTAGCATCCTATATTCAATCATGAATATTCAGCTGCACATGCAAAAAAAATAAGATATGATAGGACAATGCCTCACACAAATTCATAAACAAGAATATGAGCTTACCATTTTGATACTAAAAATTATTTCCATTTTCTGAATGAAAAGAAAACCTGTATAAAAATACTTTATCTAAACTTTAGAATAAAAAAATACAAAACAAAAACATGAACATTTTATTTTATATGTCAGTATCTTGTAACAGGGGGATAGTAAGGAACCTGGATTTCATGATTCCCAAGACAGCAATTTCTCCTTTACGTTAGGAATATAAATGAGATTTACTGCTACTGACCTAATCCTGGATGCCAAAACGTACAACAGCTTTCTAGAAAACTTAATTTAAAATGATGGTAGCTACAAAAGTGCTTTAGCAAGTAGACAGCATCCATAGCATACATTCACACTCACGCACACAGTATATATTTCGAGAAAGCTATAAAGCAAGTTATAAAGGCAACAAGTACTGTGGAGATAGCATTGTTAAAGTGACATGAACACTACTCTGGCTTTCCAGGGTCTCCAAAGCCAATCAAATTATGATGTGTTAAATATTAAAACTAGCAGTCTTGATATCAGAGATTCCAATCAAATGCAAAATGAGATGTCAAACCAACAACCACAACATTTAAAGTTATAAAACCACATGACAATACAGAGTCTTCCTTAATACCATATTAAAAACAGTATAAAGAACTGCAGATAATGTATTAACTGAATCAAGCACCTCTGAGTGAAGAAAATGCTTCCCTCACTGCATCTTGAGCATTTTTGTCTTTTGATGGAACGAAGTGGGCGGTGATACCCGAAAACCACTGATAACCACTCAGGGATTTTCCTGAACTTTCAAATGTCTTAGCTACAGGAAATGAAGAACAGAACTATGATTATAATAATGAAAGATTTCAGATTAATCTAGAATATATTTTATATTATTTAACTAATAACTACTTCTACAGAAAAGAAAATCACAAATTGTAAAATCCTAAAAAATATATTTACAAACAGATATAAACCAAAAATTTAAAAGTAAATGTGCTGGTAGCAAAGCTTCCAAATGCTACTTGACAAATCTTTCTCCAACACTGCCTTCAGAAAATAAGCATGCAAGTAGTATTTAGCTGTGAATTTCAGTACTTTCTCTCCTTCTCTCCATTTTTTCTGACCTCGTACAATTTCTCAGCCTGTTTGGTTACAGACCATGAACAAGACATGACACTGAAAAGCTAAAATTTTCAAAAGTATCCTAGTGACACTGAAACAGATTTTCAAACTTATATGCCAAATTTTAATGAATGTTAGGTGCTTAACCTGGCTCTGATAATCTCTGCAAATGCATAACATGTTTTTTTTAACATGACATTTTTTTACATCCCACCAGGCACTTATCCATATTCAAGATCCTAAATACCATTCAATACCAAACACTGTTAGCTGTGAAATTTAGTTTTCAAGAAGTTTACATGTCTTTGTATGTAGTGTAACAGTGGTGTTGTGGTACTTCTCTTCAAGAGGAGAGGGAAAGGGGGAAAAGGGAGAGGAAGGGGAGGGGGAGGAAGAGGGGGAAGAAGAGAAGGAAGGAAAAAAATGTGTTATGCTCCTGTAGACTAATTTGAAATGCTTCATTACTACAGATCTATTGATTCTTATCAGAAAAATGCATTGTAATAGGATCTCTTCTTTCAGACTAGTCATGACATGTTAAGAATATTCTTTTCAGGAGTGTTCATATAGTAATTAACAACATACTCCACCTGACATGAAACATTCAAACTTTTTTTTACATTTTTTTTCTAAAGCTGTGCAAAACTCACTGAAATCCAAAGAATTATGTTTCAAAGGCTTCCAGATGACTGGAATGTTTTTCTGTGGTTCATCCTCTTCTGATGAAGGGAAAATATCATTGTCAGTGCAGCTTATCTCACAAGGACATCTATTGATCACAAAAGTACCTGAAGATTCCTCCTGCTTGAGACAAACATTACAAAATAAGCAAGTAAATAGCATGCCAAGCACTATAAAAGCAGCACATTTTATCATTCGAATTATGTATTTCAATGACAAAAAATACTATAGCTCAACAGGTACACACATCTTAGAACAATTCATGGAAGAACAAACAGCACTAGGATTTCCCACTAGATTGCTGAAACTGGCAGAACAACACAATGTGCTCCTGTTCACACATCATATGGAAGAAAAGTGCAGACTTACTAGTAAGGACACTAAACATGAAAAACTATGAGACTCAAGAATAGATTCTTAAATAATACTATGATGAAGAAATGCTATCCCACAATTTCAAAAAATAGTATCAACTAAGTGAACAAAGGAACAAAAGCAACGATTTTAAAATTAATGCCATCATTAAACACCTGAGCAACAGACTAATAAGAGTGTTACAGCTTTTTGAGGCCATGAATGAAGGCAGTTCATGTGAAAAAAAACACTCTATTACTCTCACAAGGACTATCCCTTCTATCAAACTCACCACTTTTTGGCATGAGTTGAGATACATAAAAGAGCATTTCCCAAGATCTGTAAATCAAAAAATTTCTTGACAAGGAAGGAAAAACATTCTTCCCAAATGCTTGCTTAGGTCTAGGAAGAGAAAACTACCCAGTGCACCTTTTAAAGCAAAATACTCAGGCAGACTGACCAGGCTTTAAAAATTCTGTGTTCAATATATTTTAAACAAGTCACATAATTACAGCATACATTGGTTTTTTTGTGGTGGTTTGGTTTTTTGTTTGCATTGTTTTGTTTTTAATTTCAGAGCAAGCAGAACCCCTTTTCCATCTGGTTTTCCAAGGCAGACTAGTCTGCCAGACATGCTGACTTTGTGATCACTAGCTTGGCTAATACTCATCTAAAGCCAATAATATGAATTTTGACAGAATTTATCTATAAACCTTAACCAACCACTGCATGCTATAACTGCAGATTCTATCAATTAAATTTCTTCTCAAAGATCTCAAATTTCACATAGTGTCTAAACTATGCATTTTGCTGCAGGCTTCTTAAATACTAAATTCACAAAAATTATGATAAAGCCAAATAAAACAAGATAAAAGGTTGACAAAATATGAAGCCTTTGGCAATCCTTAAATATGGATTAGAAACTGCTGAATGTTCTTTTAGCCGATAAGTAAGTGTACTATGTATAGAATTTCCATGCAAAATGTCTATGAAAAAGAATATTAACATTATATAGTGAAGTAATTTTTATCATATTTAATTTTATTGTATTTTTTCTTTCCTTTGGAAAATAGAACATACCTTATTGCAACTTTCTCTTGATATTAGGAAAAAATAAAGAAGTGAGAGAGAAAAAAAGGCATAAAACTATACTACGCATCAGAAGTCTGCAATGAAAACTCAGCATTTACATCAATCTTTGACTTCATCAGAGTGAAAAAGGATCCAGTTAAGTTAAAGCAGTGTATTTGGAAACTTTAAAGGAAGGCTAAATTACAAAAAGGTCATTACCTGTGAGAGGAAACTCAGCTCTGCTGCCTCTGAAAGGGCTCACAGGTAGTTTTATAAGCACTGTAAACACTAAAGCTATTCTCTAAGAGAGGCTGATGTTCTTTGATTGGAATTCATTTTATTCATTCCTTCAAGAAAGGCATAAAAGTCAAGGTAATAATCTACTTTACGTGAATCAGTTGTACATGAGAGGTTAAAAGAAGTCAAGTAAATGTAACATAATAGTGCAAAGATGAAAACTGCAATTTAGAACAAACACGACATGCATTCCAATGTCACAATATACAATATATCCAGCAGCATCTGTAGCATTTCCCACTCACTGAATTACACCTTCAACTACTGCTGTTGGTTGATGTATTTTGCCATTACCCACAGGGTTGCCTGATAGCCTGTAAACCTTCAGGTATGACTTAGAAAATAAAGAAGCAGGAACACAAATCTGTAATTGAAATAGATCTTAAGCTGGATTATCTTATAAAAACCAACAAAAAATCAATTTATTTTTTTAAAGTTTCTACCTTTTTTATCCATTAGATGTCACTTTATGGAAATATACAGACTGTATAGTGGCATCAAGTGCTAAAACTGCTAACACTTCCTTCATGCAAGCTGTTATTTTATTAAATTAGTTGCTTTCGCTGGGTAATTTGTAACATCCACCATGAAACAATCAATTTGCATTGTAGCATGGGCATTTGGGGAGTACTAATGTAGCATACACAGAGTTTGTGCCTCTTGGTTCTATCCCTGAGTAAGCATGCACAGACATGGTGATTTGAGTGATGCTATCACAATGCTGCTTTGGGTTTTGTTTTTACATCACCTCAATTTTAACTTCAATGTGCTATAAAAATCCATCACTAGGAAAAAAAAATCTGTTAACTGGAAAGGGAAAAGTTCCAGCTTACCAGTATGACAGCTATTTGTTACTCACTTTTATTAAGCTTTACATAATCTCCTGTTAAGGGATGCAGAGCTACAGATATTTTCTGTTGGTGCTGTTATAGACCTGTAACTTCTCTCCATTCCCTAACCTGGAGGACCAAATTTAGATGCTCTGCAAGTGAACATGAAAAGAGCACCTATTCCACTTTTATACCATCTGTTATAATAGTTCTTTCATCTACATTTCTAAACATGATTTCTGCAAGATATGCTTCATAAAAATAATTCATGGGGAAGTAGTGAGCTTCACAGACTACCACAACTGGTTTGGTACAACATAGAGAACTCTCCTGTAGCTTTGTAATTTGTTATTATGACAAATATCTCAAATTGATGCCACATGAAATTTTCATACAACTATAGTCACATCCCTTTTTCATAAATAAGTCAATATTTTATAAATAATTATGCTTATATCAATACTGCTTCATAGAGAAAAGTAAAATTATAAATCTGAGTTTCCACACATAAAAATTTGCTCAGTTGCAAAATGTTTGGGAACTACTATGAAACATGAGAAATTTTAAAATGTCTCTCTTACATGATCCAAAAACTGTAAAAATAATTATAGACAACTGTTGATTTCAATGCCTATGATACATCACAATGACTCTTTTGAGACTGAGTCCCACAATGCTCCAAAAACATAGGTAATCAATCACTTTCTGCAGCAGCACAGGTGCAGGCTACAGCAGAAGTATTAGGTGTGGAACCTGGCACTCAAAGAACATCAGGCTCACTGCCAGGCTAAGTAAAGCTGCCAGACTCTGTTTAGTAGCTATATTCAAATCTCACAGAAATGTTGGTCTTCCATTCCTTTAGACAGAGAAAGTAATACAAGAAGCTAAAACTTATGCAAAGACTGCCACAAACAGACTAACTTACCCTGAATAATATTCTCATCACTTAAAAAAAAATCAAACTTGTTATAATGACATTTTAATTAAATCTTAGAGAACCTCTTCTATCACATAACATTTTCATGTTACTTCACATAAGCAATATACTTTCCCATTTGTTACACAGTTTCTCCCACACCCACTGTACATTGTGATACCAACCTAATTTTGGATCAGAGCCTGCATGCATGCATACACTTAACTATATTCACATAACTCATGTCGTTGATGCAAGTGTGCTCAGAATGAAGTTAAGCAAATGCACGAGTGTTCCAAGATCCAAAATCTCCTGTTGAAAAAGCCTTGGAGCTAGGACTTTGACTGATATAGCTGAAATTCCATGCAGTGGTCTTTTATGAAAACAACAGATTGCCTTCTTAAAAAGCTTACATTCTCTGCTACAGAAACTGGTATAAAAACCTATCACAACACAATTCTAAAACTGATAACTCTCCTACTGAGCAGCAGTGAGAATACAGTGGAGCAGAGAGCTCAGAAGCCCAAACTATGGTATCTCCTTATTCTTTGTGATCTATCTTGATAACAGAACTTCTTCAAATAAATATAATGAGAGACCACATACATCATCTTGCAGTATTTTGGGTACAATACATTGCAAGAAAGCCCTTTACACCAAAATACTTTCTACTAAAATATCCTCATTATGAAAACAGAACTAAAATTTATCTTTTCTCAGAGAACTGGACTGAATCTGCAGACAAATGGAGTATGAAAGAAAATCCTTTATTTACTCTCTTAGTGTTTGAAACAAATCAGCGTCCGAAAAAAATTTTGCAGTATTCGTTACTAAGTTTTGAAAATAAAACTACTACAGTTATCTATATTCTTATGGTGTAGAAGGGAAACTAAAGGTTACTTAGAAGTATCATTCAATGATGACAAAGAGTTCAAAAAATGCTACCCAGAACACCTCCAACAAAATATATTTTTGCAACTTGAAATTCCTTCCTACTTCCCTTAACATCGCTGACAAAGTCTAATTCTACAGCTAAAGTCCTACATGTAGATTAACTAAAATAATTCAGGCCAGAAGGAACTGGACAGAAATAGACTACAACATTAAATCAAATACAACCTGCAGGATCATGCTCCCTTACATGAGGCATGCAAATATCTCCCAAAAGCCTTCTCTAAGTTTACAGTTAGAGTACTCTACAAATGCTTTTAAAATTAACTCAAAATTGACTGGTGAAATAGATTTCCTGACATTTAACAGACCCAAACTCCTTGCACTTCTGAAATATGTTCACACAGGTCAAGATCTTCTATAAACAGGAAAACAGAGTATCAATTTATGATAGGTAATATAATGCAATAGTATGTTACAAGAAAAAGCATCAGGCATGATTTCTGTATCTCCTTTACAGGCCAACAGGCTCTTTTCTTCTGTCAAATGTAAATATTGACTCCCTCTAATCCTGGACTATTCATAACTTAAGGGACTGCAGTTTCACAGTTTGGATTGCTTGATCTATGTGTCCTCCTACTCACTGGAACTTGGGAACAAAATATTCATTACTGAATGTGGGAAAGAGCAAATCTTAAAGCATGAACAATAGCTAATGTTCACTACTGTCATCAGAAGTATGTTCCCATCATCAGCTTTAAATACTGTTTCTGATCATTCGAAAGCAAATAGAGTAACAGAATCTATGTGGAAAACAAAATTTGTGCAAGTTCATTGTACTGATAAAGTAAAAAAAATACTGCTTCATGGTAGTATTTTCCCTGTTTGAAAATACTCACGATTAAATTTGTATTGAATACAAAATCTAATACACTTCATCTAAAGATTCTAGAATATGCTTCAGAAATTGCCTCCCTCAAACAAAAAACATTCTATACTTGAAATGTACGAAGTGACTGTCTTACTGGTAAAGTAAAACACTGATTAAACTAGGTATCTGTATTATAGTGGTGACCTTGTTTTCTACACTGAAGAAAATGAGGCATTCCCAAATTTTGTGCATTAGTGTTTTATAACCATTATTATTTATTCTTAATGCTTTGTAAAATGCCTAAAAAATGTTTACCAAATTTTTAATGTTTTAATATTAAAATCTTATATTTATTTTTCTCTTTAGCCTTTTCTGTATCACTGTTAATGAAAGAAAAGATGATGTGTTAAAAAAAAAAGCTTCAATTATTATGCAAAAACATCTTGAAGTTGCACAGTAATGTATTAAACCAGAACAGTGAGTAAAATGTTATGTTCCCCCAGGCACAAGGGCTCATTCTGCTGCCAGAAGCAATCTAAAACAAATTTCTAGGCAGGCTTTGTAGCTAAACATGAAGAGATTTAGCTAAAGAAAATGCATTATAAAGAAGGAAAGACAGCAGAGACTAAGGTACACTAGCTATAATTGCAAAACAATTTTAACAATTTTAAAAGCAAATTCAAAGAATGTAAAATTAACACCTGTGGAACAAAACAAAGATGAAATTAATATACAATACAGTTTAAAAATATGTATATCGCACCACTGAAATGATAACAAAACTGATGTTGTAATACTTATTAGAATTGCACTTCACTGTGGAGTCTATCAATGTTTTCTACAAAGTGCTTACACGAGTGGTTACTTCTACACATTGTTCATAATAGTGTATTTCTTTGCCCAATTTTAAGTAATCCCTTGAAAGCCTGAAACTAAAATTAGTTCTCCTTCTAAAGCAGTTTTTTTCTCTGCAGTACTTTATGGTCTAAAGGCTGGTTCTCCATATTCCTAACTTATTGAAAACTTTGCTTATTTTATTGTGAAATAAAATAAACTATAACCAAAAGATTCTAATGTTTTTCCTTTTGAGACAACTACTGCAGAAACTCGACTATTTTCTTCTTAACTATACAATACATTAGTTTATATACCAAAATCCAGGGCAAACCTCTGCAAACCTTACTCCTTGGAGAGTGTGACAGCTTTGTCTACAATGGAGTGGAAACCTGATTTACTACAATACCGCCTGAAACTGTGAGGCTTTAACCAACTAATGTTTTTCCTTTTGAGACAACTACTGCAGAAACTCGACTATTTTCTTCTTAACTATACAATACATTAGTTTATATACCAAAATCCAGGGCAAACCTCTGCAAACCTTACTCCTTGGAGAGTGTGACAGCTTTGTCTACAATGGAGTGGAAACCTGATTTACTACAATACCGCCTGAAACTGTGAGGCTTTAACCAAATCTAAAACATCTAGAAGAGGGA